CACATTATCCTGAGGAAAAGGGATGGGCATTTCAGGTATGTGAGACAATAGGAAAGGGTATTACTCACAGAAAAAGGTGCTAACCGCTTTACCTAGGGGAACGCATCTACCCAGAGAGAATGAATTGTGCAGGACAGGAGTCCAGATAGCAGCTAGGGCAACCGTGACGCCCTCAGTGGGTACAAGTGGCAGACTCCTGAGGAAAAGGATCTTACCTAGGAATCTCAGGGGATAATATGCTGGACTCTGAAATTCAACTGAAATTTGGTTTCCTCTTAAAATAAATGCCTTCTGTGGGATAGTTGATGGATTCTTCTTTTCGTTATATATCTTATAGTACTTTGATCTAGTTTACACTGATGTGGGGGTGGGGTCGGGGAGAAGGTGTTAATGATAGTCCACTAGGAATAGATGAGGGAAAAGATATTATATTCTTTCATTTAACAGTTATGTATCAGGTGCTTTATGCTATCTCATGTAATCTGAAGGAGAGTTTCTGATTCAGAATGGGACCTGTAACCACAGGAGTTATAAAATTCATTCCTGTTTTTTAAACATGAAAGAATTGAGATTTAGATAGTACATGTGCTTAGCAATTACCTGTTCTTATAGTCAGCCCCTAACAAAGAGCTTAGAGTTCTCAAAATGATAGCTTCCATCAAATGTTTCGTTCTAGTAGAACTAATCCTCTCTTTCATAGTATACCACATACAGTATGAATATTTGCAGAGTAAATTTGTTGAGTATCAAATGGAAAAGTATTCTTGTCTTACAGGCACAATGTTGCATATTTCTCAGCCATTCAGGGTAGCCCAGTACTCTGCTCTAAATTGAAAGTCTTTGGAAGCAGTGGCAATTTTATCAAGATTCTCCCAAGTAGTTCTTTTAGGAGGGAGAATGTGCTCTGATGGATCAAGTGCCCAGCAGTAGACAAAGCTCAGGAGACAGTGCTTTCCACTTTGGAATCTCAAATAATTGCTTCAGGAGTGAAATAAACAGAATTTTTATTTTCATTTTAATTTTGCATATAATTGAAGGGAGGTAGATTGTAAGTATAGATGGGTTTTGAGTTAATGGTATTTTTCTGGGATTACTTTTTCTCTCTTATGACTGAAATCATGGGAGCAGGGGCACTGAGGTAGGAAAGATGGAGGAGGAGATGCTGTAGGCGGGGGTGCAGGTTGGGGGCTATTCCGCAGGGTAGGTATTGTTTACATCCTAGGCTATGATGCTCTGAATAATGATGATAAAAGCATTCCATATATATGTGGGGATATGAAATAGTAAAACCATTCTGAGATAAGGGTTCTAAGATCCTCCTTAATTCTGATGTTAGTACTATCAACTAAAGCAAGTTTAGTCTGAGCTGCTGAGCTCAGTGGGGATGACGAGGTGTGGGATGGGAGTGGGGGGATGAGGAAGAGTGAGGAAAGGAGCAGCTGGTCCTTGGTCACCTGGGCGCAGAAGACTCAGGGAGCCCTTCTCCTGCTGTGACCTTCACCTGGAGGGACAGACAGAGCCAGGCTGCGGGCCTTAGGCGTGTGTTCCACTGAGCCTTGTTCTCTGGAATGAGCAACGCTTTCTCCATGTCTCCACCTACCTGCACTTCCCATGGCCAGCCATGGAGCACAATAAGCCATCTTTTGAAAGCATAAATCAGATTAAATTACAGTGTGGTGAGAAATCTTCCCATTGCCTTTGGCACTTTCAAAGCATTGCTTTATTCCCGTTGTTCAGTTTGTGCTTTGCCTCCTCCCTGGGAAGGGAATCCAGTGAGCTCCTCTTCCTCTGGCACTGAAGACAAGAAATGTTCCCTCTCCATTCAATCTGGTCCTTCTACAGCAGAGAAGCCACCTGGATGCCTGAGCCAGGGAACTGACTGCTTTCTTAGAAACGAAAGGTCTGGGACCATTTAGCTCTGGCCACTTCATTTCGCTAATGAGGAGACTGGGATGCAACGGAGGCAAGTGACTTGTTAAATGGGTGCCAGAGCTGGACCATAACTCATGTCTCCTGACCAGTGTTTTTGGCTGATGATCAGCTCTGCAGCTGGAAGGGCATTTATTGCTGGTAGGGCAAAACTAAGCAGATGGGAGGGTGTTGGTGAGGGGTGGGGGTGGGGTGGCAGCTGGTAGGAAATAGAAAGGCCATGAAGCCAAACTGTCCATTTCTGCCAGCCATATCTCCTGGTCCAACATGGCTGCCAAATGTTCAGTAGCAGAGGCTTAGTGTCATAAAAGAACCACAGGGATAGATTGACCAAACGCCATGAAATATCTTCATTCACGCCTAATGACTCAGCCCCTATTTATTTAGGATCTTAATCCAGCTCTTTAGATTTCATGTCATTTTAACTTCTTTAACTATTTTTCCTTTTTAAATTACGTCAAACTTTGTTGCTGTTTCTCTTTTTTCCTTTGACTGCAGTTTAGAATTTATTTAATGGCTTGGGGTACAAAGTGGGGGGTTCTGGGCCAAAGGAAACTGAAGAAGCTGATGTTGATGAGCTTGGGCAATGCCCTGCACTATTTTGCTGTTCTGAGAAGGGGCTATAGAAAAAAAGAATGAGCAAGTGCATGAGTCAACATTATATTTATCCTTCTTTTGTGAGAGATACTGCTTCCCCTTTTTGGAGACGTGTAATCATTTGTTAGTTTTAGTAAGACATTTCTCAGCCCCCTGATAAGAAAACAAAGGGGCCTTTACTGGGCTAGTCTATAGAATGTGAAGTATAAGCTGCAGTCATTTTGTTTGTTTGTTTTTAGCGTTTTTCTATGATCACAGACTTTAGGGTTGAAGGGGGTCTTGAAGGATCGCCAACTTCACCACCCTTTGCTGCATAGAAAGTCCCTTCCCAACATCCCTGCCCATGGTGGCTCAGATTCCTTCTCACTGGATTCTCACAGTGAGGTGCCGCCTCCTCTGTTGAAACACTTCCTGTTTTTGCATTAAATTATAGTTATTTGAAGACTTCTCTTAAGTCTCAGCTGTGAGCCCCTGAGGAAAGGAATCCTGGAACATTCTTCTTTGATCTCTCATGGTCCCCCACTTAGATTCTAGTCTACTCTCTATAAATATTTGAATGAATGACAAGGTGTTAGCAGCCTCCAGAGATAGTTCCTGCTAGACATCTCTAAGAGCTAGAAAGTTCTTCCTGAAGGAGAGCAGAAATGTGTGTCCCTGTATATCCTGTAGGGAGGGAATGTAAACAGCGATGACAAAGAGCCGGGCATTCAGGAGATGTTCATGAGGGTCCCTGGAGATAAGTTGGTATCTTGTTCTTGCTGCTTTTATTTCTTCCCATTTGGCCAGAACACACAGGTCTGTCCTAGGATGAGAAAGTCCAGCAACCCTAGATAGAACGGTAAGTATGGGAGATGTTTGGGGAAAGGAAGGTGAGATTTCAGGAATTCACTCTAGTTTTGGAGGCCAATTGTATCAGTCTGTTCCAGGCAGACTAAAGAAAGGAATTATGCATGGGGGGTCATTAAGTATCAATTTGTTTTCAAGCACTTCACTTAACCTCTTAGATGTCCACAGAGACCTTTTAAGTAGAGAGACCTTATCAAGCTGGCTCAGGTTTGGGACAGAGTGCTTGAGGTCAGGGGCAGCTGAGGTGAATGGGAACCATGAGAGAAGAGGAAAATAAACAGCTTTCATTAAATTTGCCCAACATTAATGAACTTCCTCCGAACTAATAGAAGCAAGAGAAAATGCCATTGCTGAAGAATATTTCTTTCCACTTGAGAAGATTTATATCAAAGAAGGAAGGTGTGCAAGCCATCCGCCAGTCCTTTAGGCAGACATGGTGTGATTCAGAAAAGCTCCCTGAGTGTCACAACACGACTTGATTGTTTTGACAACTCCAACAATTACTAGGATGTAATAGTTAAAAATAACCATGTTCACCACTCTCTAATGTTCATGGGGCTTTTCTTTCATTCTTTCTTGGTGGGTTTTCTGCTGGCCTAGTAGGAAGCAGCACACATCATGAATTTTTAATTGGCAATCAAAGATGAGAATGAATATAAACAAAACACAAGATGAAAGGAAGCAGCATGTCCAGGAGAGCCCCACAGACGACATTCGTGGGTACTCACAGTGGCTTTTGGAGGTCAGGTGGGGGGATGTTTTATGCCAGATAGGTATAAGTAAGGGTCCCACAGATCTTATTTTTGGCATGGAAAATTGATGCTTAAATGCTCTTTATTTAATTATGAATGATCTCCCATGTGCCCCAGCTACTTTTGATGGAGGTCAGGGTGGGAAACAGCAAAGTGATATGACGATATAAAGATGATATGAAGATGTGTAGTTACAGTATGATGTGTGTCCTTGGCCATCTTTGGTGAGCATTGTGGATACCCTGATGTGGATGGCAAAAATGTCCTGGTTAAACTAGAACCATTGTAAACTACAACCTAGCTAAACTAAAATTAACATGGCTGTCAAGTTGGCAGGCAGGGGTGGGTGGGAGGGAGCACAGGAACACTGATGGAGGGAAGTTGACATTGGTGATGGGATTGGTGTTGGAATATTGTATGCCTAAGATTCAAATATAAATAATTTTGTAAATCATGATTCATTAATTAAAAAAATAAATGCCCCAGCTCTAACTCTCGCATGAACAAGAGAGGTGCATTGGCTCTCTCCAGCATTTGCTCTAGTCTGAATCATTATTTCCAGAGAGAAATTCTTGGATATTCCGTGTTATTCCCTTGGTATGACTTTAGTAGGTGTTTACGAGGATGGCATGGTGCAGTATATGTAAAATGACTCCATTTCTGTGTTCTAATCATTACTGTTCTGTCTTGTAATCTAAAACCTTTTCTTTTTGACATTTTTTATGCCCTAGAAGACTACTCTGGGACCCAAATTGACCTCTACCTACCTCTCTCACCTATCTTGTTTGGGTGGCTCCCTTCTCCACTCAGCCATCCTGAAAATGCTCATCCTTTTCAGCCTATCCCACTAACAGCCCTTTTCCCTTTGTTTCCCAGAATGCCTATGTCAACATCAATCGCATCATGTCTGTGGCTTCCCGCCTCTCTGAAGCTGGCCATTATGCCTCGCAGCAAATCAAGCAGATTTCCACGCAGCTGGACCAGGAGTGGAAGAGCTTTGCAGCTGCTCTGGATGAGCGCAGCACCATTCTGGCCATGTCTGCCGTATTCCACCAGAAGGCCGAGCAGGTGAAGCCGAGGGAACTGCTGGGACTGCTCTCTGTGGGAGGGGAAGGGAGACGTTATAGATTGTTTATAGATACACTCCTCTCCTTTTAAACACTAAACACCAGCTGGGGGGACAATGATATCCCATTCTATCCTATTTTCATGGCCCCGGAGACATAATGACACACAGGCAACTGAGCAGGAACATCAGTGGGCTGAGCGCATGCTGTACAAGTGGAAGGACTGAGCTCATCCTGGGCACAGCATAGACCCCTGAGCACTTATGACCAAGAGAAACCCCTGAACAAGAAGCCAGGAATAGCCCCCAAGTGTGGTACAAAAGCTAGCACACCTCCCCCAAATTGGTAATTCTTGGTGACTTTGAAATCTAAACAAAAAAGAAAAAGGAACACAGAACCTAATTAAATTTTCCTTTCTAGTTTATTGTTGGATTGTGCATGTTGGCTATTGCTTTATTTACATTACCTAAAAATAAACCAAAGGGGTTAGACTGAATTGATCATTGAATGCTGAGATCAGGTGCACACACTGTATTTGAAGTATTTGCTATAGATGATAATAATGCAATGACAGTGCATTGAATAGAAATAAAATTTACTTACTGGCATTAGACAATGCAGTTTCTGATCCATTTTACAGACTGGAGCCCTGATAATCTCAGAGATTGTGTGAGTGCTTAAAAACTGGTGAGGATGTGTTGGAGCTGGCTCTGATCATAGCAGTGAGAGATAATTCTGGAATGCTCAGGAATATCCTGAGCTGGTTGTTAAATATGATCCTCAGCTAAAGCCAACTTATATGTTTACATTCAATGTGTCATTTAAAATGGAGATGATAAATACTAAAAATGCGTCACTGCCAATTATTTTATTATTTATATTCTTGAAGTTATTTATAGCTATCTATTTGATTGTCTAGAATATTTAGAAAAGGAAGAAGAAAATACTAAAATATACTAAAAATTTAGACTAAGCTTAAAAATGTATCCTGTCTATAGCATTATTACATTGTGAATGACACAAAATTAAATAACACACAAAAATGATATCCAAAATCTGTTATTTCAATTAGTAGTCACTCACCTTGCTAATAGTATTCTTTGATATGTCTCCAGGTATTTCTTCCTCTTATTTTACACTTAATATAACTACAAAGATTAATCTTCATGTTGCAACTCTTAAGTTTGTCATTTGCAAAGAAAAGCATCCTGTAAGAATCATTAGCGTATATGAAATTTACAATAACCTGCAGCATATGTTATTTTTTATATACTGTGAGCAACATTTTATATATCATTTTAGTAAAGGATTATATAGATTATAAATTACGTATGTGTATTAACATTTATACACATATATGCATGATGCACACACAGATATATATGCTGTTTATGAAATATTTGCTTACATAGCAGTGTGGTATGTTTAACAATAACATGAAAGTCTCTTAACTTCTCTTCTTTTTCCTTATATGACATTAGGGTGACTAACAGATAATGGAGAGGCAGGTACAAGCTCATTCCTAAATATCTTCTTCCAGCACCCACCCAGCATGTAAGGTGATGTGGAATAGCAAGAGTCTAGGCTTTGAGACCAGACATGTGAGCTTTAATTCCAGCCCCCTTTTGAGCTTGTTTCTTATGTCTAAACTCAGGATAATAAAGCAACTCTCAGACTTTTTTTAAAAATTAGGAATAGAACTCTTAGGTGGCTTGGTATGCGTTTGAAATAGTAGACATTTCCGTGATGAGTATTTGTTCAGCATGCTCTCCCAGTATCTGTATTTTGCCTACCTATGCCTGTTTCAAAGTAAGATTTTCACAGAGGCTGAAATGCTAATAGACTGAATATGACTGGTTCATAGCATGTGAGAAAGTTCTGGTCTCCTCGTATCTCTTCTACCCTATTCCCTTCACACACTTCATTCTGGATAAATCCAGATGATTCTTGGTCCTTTCCTCTGTCTCTCTTTCTCTCCTTAAACTATCCATTTTGTGGATATGATATAGTATTCCTGTTAGTTTTACAGAGGAATACCAGGGGTATTAAAGAGGTGCTGCCCCACCACAAGTGACACCTTAGTGTCAAGTTACCGTCACAAGTTTCTGTAAAATGGTTATTGGTGGAACAAAAAGGCTTCTGAGCTCTGAGCATATACATGGAGTCTGGTACTGGGTGGCACTCAGCACTTTTATTTTAATAGAAGACCTAATCAAAATACAAAGAAAGAAAAATTAGCCCTCAAAGTCAATGGGGTGGCAAGTGTTGAAAGCTGACGCTGATACAAGACTAGAACTCAAGCAGTCACAGGGAATATGGTGCCAGGATTGATATTAACTGGGGAAGTCAACTTCTATTTGATGTTTCCGGACTTGTATTAGTTTGGATCAGAAGCATTTTTATTTGCATATATTTTTAATACAGGAAGTCAGATACAGCACAGGTTAGGGAGTGTCGTATATTAAAAAAACAATGACACTGTGGTGTATGAGAGCCACTTTTGTGTTCAATATGCTCTAAGCATTTTTATTTGCATATATTTTTAATACAAGAAGTCAGATACAGCACAGGTTAGGGAGTCTTTCAGGGAAACTCATAAATGATACTTTTTCTTCTTCTTTTCTTTTTTCTTTCTTTCTTTTCTTTTCTTTCTTTTTTTTTTTTTTTTGCTGGGGAAAACAAAAGGGACCTAAGGCCTTTTTTCTGATGCATTTGAGTAGGGAGCTCTTTATTATCCTCATATGGGCTTTTCTAGGTAATGAGATAAAAAGGTATTTAGGCAATTAATTTAAATAAAGCTGCGCATCCAGGCAAGAGAAAGCACAGACAGAACCATTTCAGACTGTTGAGTGAAGAATTATTTGCATTTTAAAGGTGTGTTTTTCCACCCAATAAATCTGAGTGATTTCAGTTAGCTCAGCCTTTGTGCATGGAGACCTATAGTCTTTCACAGTTGTTAATTTTAATTTTTAAATAATTTAATGTCCCTCAAGATCTGTATCTAAATATGATGTCCCAGGAGGGAGCCACCATTATTGAGGGTGTCCAATAGCTGCTCTCTCCCCTTACAGCAAGGGTCTTCTCAAGTTCCCTGGGACCCTAATGGTCCTGTGCAAGGTTTCTTTGCTCCTTTTCACAACTCACTATACACACTTGTGTACTCTGTATGTTTATAGTCCCATCATATGCAGCCTCTCACATATGCCTCTGAGTCTGCACAGGACAAGAATCTCCGGTGTATGCATATAATCCAGTGAACTGTTTTTACATTCATTGTGTGCTTAGAGCATATTGAACACAAAAGTGGCTCTCATACACCACAGTGTCATTGTTTTTTTAATATACCACACTCCCTAACCTGTGCTGTATCTGACTTCTTACTTGGGATCATTGTCTGAATTAAAGAAACTAGAGAAAAACTCTACCATCTGCCTTGTCAGCTCCACTCTCTGTGAAGCCTTCCAGAAAATCTGATGCTTCTTCCCAAGACATCTGATCCCATCTAATGGTTTTCCTTGTCCTCAGCCCTAGTGCTCCCCATACTGACCCAGCTGCTGCTGTCTTCTTTTCAGTTCTTGTCAGGAGTCGATGCCTGGTGCAAGATGTGCAGTGAAGGAGGCCTGCCTTCTGAGATGCAAGACCTTGAGCTGGCCATCCACCACCACCAGTCCTTGTATGAGCAGGTGACCCAGGCTTACACAGAGGTGAGAACCGAGCAGGACACCAGGGATGCTGGGCATGTATTTATATGGGTGGGCAGCAAAAACATGGGCAATAGATTGTGTATTTCTAATGCTAAGAGGTCAGACCATTTTTCTCCCTTTGGATCTATGAATGATGGGAAACCAAAAAATGGGGTCATCAGCAATTTCCACTGTGGTGAACTAATTTGTGCATGTATGCTCCCAGACCCACATGACCCTGTGAAGATTAAACTCTCTTCCCCGAGGGAGCACTGTTAAAAGAAAGCAAGGTATGCTTCTCTGGAGTCTGCGCTGAGAGGTGAACAAGCATATACATATTAGCCCTTGCATGCTTTCTATGAAAATGCTCTTTAAAAATATAATTTTTATTCGAGAAAGCCTAGAAGAAAACTTCCTGTGACAGTAATCATTGGTAGGAGAAAGACACTGCCACAGAAGCCTTCTCTAATGACAAGTCAAAGGCCAAGGGGCATAGTACGAAGTTGAGAAGGGAAAATCTTTAAGTTCCATTCCAAGGAAAAAGAAAAGGATTCATAGGTGCATTTGTGTGGACAGATGATAGTAGTATGTTTGATAACTGACATGAATTCTATAGCAGTGGAGCAGAGGGATGTAAAGAGATAGACTTATTAACGAAGCTGGGTGAGGAGAGATAAATGGTTTCACACCTGTTGTATGGGCTTCCTCTGGGCAAGCTCACTTAGAGTTGTCTCTCAAAGTGGCTTTCTGCGCCACCTGCAGACTCACCTGGGGACCCGCTTAAAAGAGCAGATTCCTGGGGTATACTCCAAACTGAAACAGAATATCATGAAGTGGGACCTGCAACTTTATGTAATGTAGTGTAATGATGGTTGCCTCAGATGAGTTTGACGCTTGTTACTGTCAAGAAACAATGGCTTCTGGATGAGGGAAGGGTTTTGTCGTAGTCAAAACTGATGGAATACTGTTTTCCCTACTGACCAGCCATGTGACTTCAGGCAAGTTCCCTAACTACTCCAAGTGTCTTCTTATATGAAATGAAGGTACTAAGCCCTGCCAACAAGGGCTTGTTTTAAGGGTTATAAAGATTAAGCATGTAAGCACAGCGGGTAGAGCGTCTGCCTTGCACGCAGCCAACATGGTCGACCCGAGTTCGATTCCTCCACCCCTCTCGGAGAGCCCGGCAAGCTACCGAGAGTATTCGATATGCCAGACACAGTAACAACAAAGTCTCCAATGGAGACGTTACTGGGCCCGCTCGAGCAAATCGATGATCAACAGGAGAGTCTTTACTTACATTCAGCCTAGTGCCTAACTGTAATCAAAGCTAAAAAATGGTAACCAGTTCTGTCATGTAGGCACAGAGGAGGTTTGTGAGCCAAGTCTGGGCTCATCAGCTCTGCTCCAAATGCCCAAGGCTTTCAACAGAACTGTACTTCTGCTAGAATCTAGAATCTCTAAGTTTTCTTCTTATAATATACTAAAATACAGCATGCTAATAAGATTAATTTGTACTCACACTTGGGGAATGTGAGTGTAATTATATAGAGATAAACAATGTTTGTCAAAAGTTTATTTTCACATTAAGGGCATAGACAGTTCCTATAGGTCCATTAGCAAGGTGAGTAGGCAGATGAGGATGGATCCAGAGGGGCCAGATACTATAGATGTGGATTGCAGGACCTGGTCCCGCGTCACTGACCACCTAGGCATAGCCAATGCCAAAAGAGAGCTTTTGCTTAAAGTTCCCTGGAAAGGCTCTTCTGGGTTTGGATCTCATGTACTTGTCTTAATCTGGAAGACATTCCCTTGGTATTATTTGTAAAGTACTTTCTCTTGGACTGCGAATGAAGGCTTCCATGGCACTATCTATGATCCTTTGAGCACTGCCAGGGACCACTAATGAGCACAGAGTTTGAAATATCCTCCAAAGCACTATCTGGTGAGGCCCCAAATAAAAAAAAGTAGAAATAAAAGTACGTATGCTTCCTGCTCTCTGGACTGAGTTCTGGGAAGCAGGCATGGTGGGAGGAGATGCATCATGGTGAATCCCCTTTCCTCTAGCTAGGCCTGCTTTCCTGGCTCAGCTGTGTTCTACCCTCCAAACACATACCTTAGTCACCCCGAAGGCACTTCTGTGCACTATGAGAAAGGGTAATAGTTGCCTCTATATTCCTGAGACCCTCACCATGCTGTTATCAAGACATGACGTTGGGATGAGGGAAAGCATAGGCAGAAATCTGGGGAGGGGAACACACTTTTTTTACCTCCTGGTTGGGTGGAAACAAAGACTTTCTCACTTCAAACCAAACTTGATTGTATTGTTAGGCAAACTGGGGCCTAAGTGATATTACAGTGGGTAAGCACTTGCCTTGCATGTGGCCAACCTGAATTTGATCCCTGGCAACCCATATGGTCCCCCTGGCCTGCCAGGATCAAACTCTGAGTACCACCCAAAAACAAACAAAAATTTGTTAAGCAGATTAACTTGAGGTTTAAATACCTATCAATTCTCCACAATCATACATTAGAAAGACACTTGCTCTTTTGGTATCCAGAACATTCAGCCACACTGTCAGTCATAGGATGCAGCCTCCCAATATTATTGGTGCCAGTGACTGCCCAGGCTTCCAACGGCAGGGACCACAAGGAGTGTCTCTGAGGTTGAATGTGGAGCATGAATATTTACCCCCATCCACCTAGAAGTTTTAATCAGCTTGTTCTGGAAAGATGAATAGATTATCATTTTTTCCAGAAGAAAAGAAAAGTCAGATTATATAGATGTAAGGTGAAAGAATGGTAAATATGAAAGGGGTAGATGGCAGAAACAGGAAGGACAGGAGAGAGAAACGATGATCAAAAAGAAAGAGACGGAACTGAAGCCAATGTGCTGTTGCGGGCCCTCTTTGCAGTTCTCTTGTGTGTTGACTCACTTCACCCTCATGCCCAGGATTCCTGGATGTTCTTCTCTCCCTGAACTGTGGCCCAGGCCCTGTACAGCTCTGGCTGGACAGTCCATGGCTGTCATGGGTGCGATAGGATGCAGAGTCTCAGTACTCCTCAGGGAACCCCTCTTTTCCTCACCACCCTTTTGCCACTCCTCCTGACCTTACACCTTTGACCTGGCCTTCTTTCCTTCATGCAGGTGAGCCAGGATGGCAAAGCCTTGCTGGATGTGCTGCAGCGTCCCCTGAGTCCTGGGAACTCAGAGTCCCTCACAGCCACAGCAAACTACTCCAAGGCGGTTCATCAGGTGCTAGACGTGGTGCATGAGGTCCTGCACCACCAGCGGCGGCTCGAGAGCATCTGGCAGCATCGAAAGGTGCGGCTGCACCAGCGGCTGCAGCTCTGTGTCTTCCAGCAAGATGTCCAGCAGGTAACAGCTCCCCTGCACCCACACCCATCCCTTGGCACTAGGGACTGGGCCTGTTAGCTCCTGAGCAAAGAGAGTGGTCAGCCACCAACCCACAGAAAACCCAAAGCGAAATAGCTGGACAGGTTAATTGTGTGCTTCTCCTGTAAAGTACTTTCAAATGAAGAATGGACACCCCCCACGCCCTACAGCCCCACCAACTTTGCTGTTGGAAAGGGGAACTTAGTCTGAGGAATCACAGTTCTGGGCAGTCGTGACACAGTTTACTCTTGAGAATGCCTTACCTTTCTGGCATGAATTTCTAGACAACTCCAGAGCTAATGGAGTTATTTGTTGATGCCTTATGTTTCATGATTCTGGGTCATTTTTGGCTAATCTATCTGTTTGCATTATTCTACTAGTCATGGTTTCCTCCTTATCACAAATACTAAAGAAATGGTTCCTTTCCTTCTTTTTCCCTTCATCTTTCCTTTCACACCCAGCAGTGCTCAGGGCTGCTGCTAGCTCTGCACTCAGGAAGGTTCTGGGGCTCAGGGTCTGAGCTGGGTCAACTGCATATGAGACAACTGCATAGAAGACAAGTTTTTCAAGCAAACAAGCTGTACTATTGCTTCCGCCCTAAAAATGGGTACATTTCTGGCTAGTAAAAGACATTCTGGCCACACATGTCACTTTGGATGGAATAATCCATCCTTTCCCTTTAATGCTTCCCCTATCTCTTGGGGACCAGGTGCTCTGCTCTTAGGATTGAAGGGGCAACTGATTGGGAGCTGGGGCTTGAGTCTTAGATGCAGCATCATCTCCCACTGATCCAAAGACCATCGGATGGGCAGACTTTTCTTGGTTGCCAAATAAATTCAGGATCATACATGCAAATAACACTTCACTCTCCTTCTGTGTTGTCTGTGGTGCTGACCTGATGTGATCTAAAAGTGTATCAAAATACGTATAGAAAACTGAGGACCTACTGAACTTGATCTTATTTTTTAATGTATTTTACTTTTATTTTTATTGTATTTGAGGCAGCATGGTTACAATAATATTACCCCCCGTATTAATAAGTTTTATTCAATGAAAAGTTTTTTCAAGCAATAGTGTTAGCATTAATCTTTGATGTACAAAGTTACTTCCCCACCACTATTAGAGAAGTGCCCCATATGTCCACCACTGACCCTACACCTCTTCCTTCCCCTCCTCCTCGCCCCCATCTCTTGGTAGTCTCAGTTCTGTAGTCAGTGCAGGCATTGTTCTCACAGGATATTGTCCGTTCCTTTGCTTTATATACTGATTGTGAGAGAGATCATATGGGATTATGACATGTCTTTGGAAGCTGAGTGCCCTTCACAGCTGCTGTTGGAAGGGCTGGTGCTTGGCACCCTGAGATAGAGGCCAGATGGGTGTGATTTGGGGGGGGGATCCTTTCAGTGGTTGTCATACACTCTGGGAGGGGTCAACCAGTAGTTGGGCATTCGAGCAAGTCTTTCCTTCCTGGGATCCTCCTTTTCACACATACACTATTGCCACTACCAGCTGGGGCAGTGATTGAGTCATTAGAGGTGGTACTCCTGCCTCGGGAGAGGCAGGTCGAATATGCTAGCTCCACTCTGGAACCAAATAAATCAGATACTTGCTCTGGTTCTCTGAGCTTTCCAGATAAATATACCACCCCTGTGTCCAGGAGAGCACAGGTGTCAGTCTGTGATTGAGAGATGCCAGTCTCAGGAGGCATCTTGAGGAGTCATGAACTCTGATCAACTCCCAGAGATTATTGCCCATGGTCATTATACTAAGGTGGGCACTGAAGGTGTACACAGGTGCATTGAGGAGAGGAAACAAAGTATAACTCTGCAGGAGAGAAGCACCAATATTCAGCCATCCAGAAATGAATCTGTTCAAAATCTTCTGTGGTCATGAGGACTTCTATGTCAAAGCTAACAAAAAGTATGACAAAGTTACACTGTGGCTCTTGTACATTGCGTTTTGTTTTTAATTGAGAACATTCTTTGAATTAACAGCCAATCCATTTTTCTCTACAGTATAAATTGTTAGCAGTGAGCAACAGCAAATATAAAGTGATGGTATGGATATGATGGGCTATTAGATTTTCCCTGAGAACTGCATCTCCCATTGTTCTTTTAAGGCTCTATAATATGACTTCTGGGAACAAGACTTTACCCATTCACTGTCCCAGCCTCTGTCTCTTGTTGTGTCTGATATCAGGACAGGTATGCAAAAGGAAAATGTGGGAAAACAAGTGATAGCAGACCAAATAATGGTCTCACACTCACACTCAGCCTTTAGTGCCCGCAGGTGTCTGAGTCATTGCTTTGGGAAGTGCCAAGTGATTCCTCAAGGACAAGAGGGCAGGGCTTCAACTCCTGTTTTTTGGCTCCCAACCATGCTGGAATCTATCCTAGTTTTTAGGATCAGACTGGACAAGTAATTTCCCTGTTCTGTGATCCCAGAGTTTTAATCAGTTACCCTGCACCCCCCCACACACACACGTAATGCAAAGATGAAAGTGTTGTAGAAATTTTATAATTTATAATTTCTACTTTGCATATTTCATCTCTTTCAGTATGTCCTTGATAGTAGAAACCTTAGCTTTTTCCTCTCCATGTTTTTTCTAGCTTTTATCTCTTGCTTGCAGTAAACAGAGATTCTATTGATAGTTTTGCTGTCTGAGCTAGGTTATCATTAGAGGACCCTCTTTCTTCTGTGTTGAATATTTTTTAACCACCTCCTCTTAATTCATCCAGTAGTTGCTATTGAGTAGCTGGAACTGAGAAATTGTCATGTGAGGTCCCAGGTATTGACACCAGGCAGAGGATGCAGGGACTTAGCCTCTGCTCAGAGGACACCAGTCCTCATCAGTTATTCAGCAGGCTTGGACCTCTGCAGTGGGGTTAGCTCTGCGCAAGTCTGGCAGAATGCCTACTGAGTAAGAGTGGCTCAAGCCATACATTTATAAAAAGACACTGCTGCCAGGACCTGTCGGCTATTGTGCAGGGCCTTAGCTACTGAAGGAGAAGTTACAGGCAGAGGCATGAGAAGTTAGAGCTGATGGCTCGATGGAATAGAGAACTTTAGCAAGATGGTCTATATGTAAGATTCCTAGACACATTTGGGTTCCAGCAGCCTGGGTAGGAAGCTTGTAGGTGCTCATACCAGTGACTGGAGCAACACATTGTCTCAGGAAAGAGCATGGGCTCTGGAGTCAGACCACTGGTATTTAAATTCTCCTCTGACAAGTTGACTGACTGGTTTTGAACAAGTATTTTCACCTCTGGGGCTTCAGTTCTCACCTCTAAAACAGGAAACAGGGCTCTTGAATAAGTCAGCAGGCTAAATACAAGCACACCGCGTTTATGCTTTGCATAGCATACTTGATATGTGGGAGGACTGAGTTCAAGTCCCAGAGCTGCGTGGTCCTCCCAAACCGCCAGGAGCTACCCTGTAGCAAAGACAGGAGTAGCCCCCACGAACTATCCAGTGTGCACCCCAAACAACATAGCACTGTAACACTGTCCTGTTGTTCATTGATTTGCTCGAGCAGGCACCACTATCATCTTCATTGTGAGACTTGTTGTTACTGTGTTTGGCATATTGAATATGCCACAGGGAGCTTGCCAGGCTCTGCCATGTGGGCGGGATACTCTCGGTAGCTTGCCAGGGATGGAGGAATCGAACCCGGGTCAGCCGCGTGCAAGGCAAACGCCCTACTGCTGTGCTGTCGCTCCAGCCCTTCGAGGGTATATGAGTAGCTGCATTCCCCTGCTAGAACCTCCAAACAACATAAATAAATAAATAATAGGAAGCAGTATAATACTTTATCAGATTGAATAAGGCACAAATACGAGGCTTAGCACAGTGCCTGTCTAGCGGAACTTCCATCAGTGCATCTGGGCTGTTGGTCACATCATCTTTGAAATGATATTTGGGCGCCCCCTGGTGTTTGTGCTCTTAGCAGCCCCAAGCTTCATTCTGTTCCTACTGTAGTAATTATTTTTTTCCTTTCATTTCGTGATGAAATCTTGGAACTGTCAAGGGCCTGGAAGAGCATCCAGTCTATATACAGTTGAGAAAATTAGTCCCAGAGATATAAAGTAATTTTAACACAAAAATAGCTAGTTACTGGTCGTGCAAGTGTTAGAAGGGAAGTCTCTGGTGTGGCTGGCCTTTAGAAAATCCACACAAGAAAGAAGCCAGAGGAAAGAAAAGAACATGAGGAGATACCAGAAGCACATAGGAATACTTGCATGGATCTCGAGAGACAGACAGATACACAAACTTTGAAACAGAATGAGGGAGGAGGAAGAAAGGAACTTTGGTTTGTGGGGAGGCACACATTGGCCATGCTTCTGGCTTCTGGCTCTATGCTCAGGGACCATCTGTGGTGCTGGGGACTGAACCTAGGTTGGCCTCATGCAAGACAAGGGCCTTTGAGTCTCTCAGGCCCAACAAGAGATATCTGAAGACAAAGGTTGAGAAATGTATATGGGAAAGAAGGATGGAGAGAAAGGGGAGAGTGTGGGTGGGGATTGGGAGAGAGAGGCAGGGCCTCCTGCAGGTGGAAGGTGCAGGACCGTGGGAACTCACCCTATCCATCTAACTTCTTACCTCACTGGCATTTCCGAGGGTAGCCTTTGCCCTTTTAGGCACCAGAGGAGAGAAAAGCTGAGATATGAAAACCAAAGATAGGTCCAAGTTGAAGCTTCCATCTGGACAACTGAACCCAGAATCGGGCTGGCTGTCAGCTCCAGGCAAGCCTTCCCTGGATCCAGACTGCTGTCTTCCCAGTGTTTGCTTCCTGCCAGATTTTTAGATTTTTCCAGATCACAGAGGGATAGTGCCCCCAAGCCACCAAAAGAAGACTCCATAGGCAGCTCAACCATTGTTCACCTTTGTCCCTTATTGTCCCCCGTTTCCCCTGGCTCCCGCATGTGTGAAAAGAGTCACCTTCAAAGTCAGCTAGACCAGCCTTTCTTGTCAGAATAGCAGGA